CAAAGTCCTGAGCTCAGGTGATCTGCCCGCTTTGGCCTCCTAAAGTGCTGTGATCACAGGCGTGAGCCACCATGACCAGCCAGATTTTTGTTACTTTGGATAAAATGAAGCAAGTAGGCAAACAAATATTACATGCTAGGGTTACAGGTTGCATGTAATATTACAGATATATAAGAAAGGCAGTGAGGTGTAATGAAAAACCATAATGAACATGGATTCAAAATACCCAAATTGGAGCATATCACTTTCTAACTTACGGGTTCTTATCTCCAGGCACTGTTTAAACTGTAAAATGGTATCTGAATGTCAGTCAATGTTACCACTATGATTATTTTTTAACGTTAGGCTTTTTAATAAACCCATTAAGACAGAATTTTCCTCCAACAGTACTATATCCTTATAATGAAACCACTAAGAGTATGACAAAGTGGAGAGGCTTAACTGAAAGAAACCTAAGCTTGGACTCAAGTGCTAGCCTAGATATTTAAACACTAATCTCACTAAGTGTTAAGATAATGTCAATTATGGGGCTTAAAATGAAGGTGGGCAGGTGTGGTAATCACGCCTGTAATCACAACACTTTGGGAAGCCGAGGAGAGGAGCACTTGAGCCCAGGAATAGCAAATACAAAATAAAATATAATGGATGAACTTTGGAAAAGCTCTTTTCCAAAAATTTTATAGACTTCTTGCTAGTTATACTAAAAACAAAGCAGGATGACAGTGGAGTCAAAAAAAAAAATGCAGATTGGAATCCTGGCTCCCCCACTTACTAGCTGTGCAATTTGAACACCTTACTTAACCTCTCAGGCCTCCAGTTTCCTCAAGTGTAAAACAGAACAGTAAAACTAGAGATAACTAGCGGGGCGCAGTGGCTCACGCCTGTAATCCCACCACTTTGGGAGGCCAAGGCAGGTGGATCACCTGAGGTCAGGAGTTCGAGACCAGCCTGGCCAACATGGTTAAACCCCATCTCTACTAAAAATACAAAAATTAGCCAGGCGTGGTGGTAGGCGCCTGTAATCCCAGCTACTTGGGAGGCTGAGGCAGTAGAATCGCTTGAATCCGGGAGGTGGAGGTTGCAGTGAGCCGATATCGCACCACTGCACTCCAGCCCGGGGACAAGAGCGAGACTTCATCTCCAAAAAAAAAAAAAAGAAAAAGAAAAAGAAAACAAAACAAAAACTAGAGGTAACCGGCATGCAGGAAGTGTTCAATAACCATCATTAAATTTGAAAAAAAATTACTAAAATCTGCTACAAAGTTTACTATAATAAAAAATATCTGAATGGTAAGTTTTAATTAAGTGACTAACACAATTCAGCACATACCACATTAACCTACAAGGGTTATTACTATATACATTTAATGCCCAGGTGACACAGCAAGGAAAACATGAATTTTCACATCTCTCGATCTCTTAACTAGAGACTCTTTATTCAGTAGTCATCTACTTTGGCTATTCTACAAGATGCTACACATCTGGCTAACAGGTACTCGCCCTTGTTGTTGTTGTTGTTGTTGTTTCTTTTGGAGACGGAGTCTCTCGCTGTGTCGCCCAGGCTGGAGTAAAATGGCACAATCTCGGCTCACTACAACCTCCACCTCCTGGGTTCAAGCTATTCGCCTCCTGCCTCAGCCTCCTAAGTAGCTGGGATTACAGGCTCCCACTACCACGCCCAGCTAATTTTTGTATTTTCAGTAGAGACCAGGTTTCACCAGATTGGTCAGGCTGGTCCACCCACCTCGGCCTCCCAAAGTGCTGGGATTACAGACATGAGCCACCTCACCTGGCCCCTTGGTTTTAACTTAAACATCTTTTTTTATATATATAGCTCTAACCCAGAGTGGGAGATTTAAGGTGTGTGGCCTCCAGTTATAACATACAAAAGCATACCTATAAAAGGATTTCAATGAACCAACTATCTAAAATTCATAGAGCTGCAGTTATTTTCTCCAAGAAAAAAACATCTTATACAGCTATAATTTTAAATTAGCTATTATGTGATATAAACATTTCATGCATCCACAAAAATTCTCAGTGAGAGATCTGCTATCTGCTTACAGTTGTAAAATTATCAGTTCTTTAAGAAGCAAAGACTGTAATTTTGAGGATTTAAAATATCATTTGATGTAAATGTTTAGATCTGCTTTATTTGCGTATCTTTTATTGACTGAAAGTAAATATTTAAAATATTTTCAACATATAAGCAGTAAGTTTATTTACTACTTTCTAAGAAGCCAATTACTAATTGTCTCAGTCCTTGTAAATTAGGTCAATAAAGAGGTAAATGGTTTTAAGAAATACTCAATGAACTTCATTAACACTATCATTTCTAGCCATTCTCATCTGTATTCTGGCATGGAACACGTCACATTATACTAAGTGAATAGCTTTTAGTTTATAAACAAACACTTATTTAATCATGAAACCGTCCAAGAAGGATTTCCCCCCCTTATTCTTTTTTTTTACCTTCTCAGATCATATTTAGAAAGCTTTAGTTGCCAGCTACATCAGCTACAAGTTAAAAAGAAACCTCTTAATAAAGCAACAAATTTTCTTAGCACTTTATTATAGTATGCCACCCCTACAGAGACTGTAAATTAAAATATAAGAGAATTATAAAAATAGAAAATAGCAATGTAATTTTAAAGTACACACAAGAGAATACTTTCCAACAATTATTCAACCTAAAACGAATAGCAAACTGATAAAGAGCTAATTCCACAGGCAAAAGACTGTCCCCGACTCAAATCTTCAGTATCTGGAACTGCCTTTCAAGATTCCTGTTAACTGCTGAATATCTATTCAGTAATTTTAGTGACATTCTAGATTTTTACAGTACTACTGAATACGAAACCACCGTAAATTAACTTTAGTGGGGCTCTGTACATGAGGGTCATCCAATGTCCTATTAAAAACCAAATAATATATTCCATAATATCTTCTTCTAGTGATCAAGTTAAATACTAAAACTCTAAGAAGGCCAATTCTTTGATTTTCTCCACTCTTCGAGTACAACAGTAACACTGTAGCTCTGAACTTAAACTCACCCCAAACACTTCCTATCTTGATCTTCGCGGATCAATTCAAATTATTTTCCAGTTCGCATAATAAGAAATCAAAGAATAGATTAAACTGACAACCCTTAAAAGTTTTCACTCCCTGCACCTAATTGTCCAGTTTCTTAAACTTTTGTCTCGCCGTCTTACAATTTCATCTCTCAAATGGAGATGAAGAAAAACACCGAGTGAGATTGTCCACTGAGCTGTGAGTGATCCCAGGTCAGCCTGGTTCTCTGCCAGAAACGACCAGGTGACATTTACTCTTCCTGTAGAAGTTTCTTTCTCTTGACCCTCAAGGAACCTTCCAGAATATTGTTACACTATTATAATTCATCAGTAGTTACAACACTTCACTTCCCAAAGGAATCTCTTCCCTGCACGATGACTACTCTCTAAAGACGCTTTCAAGACCTTCCACTCCTCAATTCCAGGACAGTAAACCTCCCTCGCTAGAGGAGAAAAAGTTCCTAAAAGACAGACCGGAATGGATTTGCTGAACTTTCGTTCCAATCTCAAAGCATGTAGACATCCAAGGGTTCCCAGAAACAATGAGCTACAGAAGTACAGACTACACGGGGAAAAAGAGGAAGTATCAGAACAATACCCAAACCAAACACAGCACCAAAAACCCGTGGTCGCCTCTATCATCCCAGACTACCGCCCCCACTTCCCTAGTTTCACCAAGGTCTCAAACTTGGAGAAATGGCATCCATCCCCTAATTTCCTCCCTCAATAGACAACAAACGCGTCACGAAGAAAGTGGCAGAGAGAAAAGCAGCAGGCTCTGGTGGACCGGAGCCGTGATGGCTGGGTAGAAGGAGGCAAGCCAAGGGTTGTGTAAAGAATGGAAAGCTGAGCGATCCTGGGGGAGGGGGGAATTAGGGCGCCCAAGCTAATCCCCCGCCGGGGCCCGCCGGTGGGAAGAGACGGGGGGCGAACCGGCGAGGGGACTGGGGGCAGCCGGCTGCGCTGGGCTTTCGGGTCGCAAGAAAGGGGAGCAGAGTCTGGCAGCCCCGCCAGTGGGTGGGTGACGGCGCCCGCCAGGGAGGAGGCTCCGTGCGGGGCGGACGTTTTGGGATGAGAGAGCGCGACCCGTCCTCCTCACGCCGCCTGAGACCCCCAAGCTCACACCTCAAATCTGCTCTTGGTCACTCCGTTCACGTCCCTCCTCATGGGGCTGGCGGGTGCGGCCCGGGCCGGGCTCTGCGGCGAGCGGAGTGCACAGACCTGGGGCCCAGGACAGGCCCGGGAGTTCCGGGACGGGGACTGGGTGCCGAACGGATAAGGCCGGGGCCGTGGGACGGGAACGAGAGACCTCTCGGCTCCGGCTGGGCCTCCACCACCTCCCGTGGCGCCAGCGGCCGCAACGACTGCACGTCGCTAGCTCGGCTCTCTCCTCAGCCTCAACTTCAACCCAAAACAAAAACACTCCCCACCTGCCAGCAACGCCGCTGCTCATTGGACAGAGCCGCCCGGGCCTCGGAGCGCCGGGGAGGGGGAGGGGCAGGGGCGGGAGGAGGAGGAGCGCGGCGGCGGCGCGAGACTACCCTTCCCCCACACGGGGCCGGCCCTGACGGTACGCCCAGGAGCATCCGGAGCGCGGCGGCGGCACGACCCCCTGCGCCTCCGAGGCAGGCTAGCCCATCGGGAGAAGGCGAGGCAGGGAAGTGCCTGTGCGTGTGGAAAAGGGGTCTGTGGGGTGGGTGCGAGTGCGCGCGTGCTCGCAGACCGGCGAGGGAGAGTAGAGCGGGACCGCACTCTGCGCGGGGCCCCTCTTCTGCCCCTTGTCCCCCTCTCCCTCCACGGGCAAACAGGCACGCACCCACCTGCACAGAACCTCAGCTTCTGCCCGCGCCCCCAACTCCTCGTTACTTGTTCCCCAGAAGCCTGTAAGCACCCTTCCCGGCCACCCAGCTCCCTTCCCCTGTCACTCACTGTCGCCTTGAACCCAAAGTGCAGCAGGCGGTCCCTGCTCGGAGCCATTTTCCTCCTCTTTCTGGATGTGTCTAGATTGGGGCAGTGCGGCTGCCGCCGCCGCCTCCGCGATTGCCGCCGCCGCCGCCGCCTCCCCCACCCGAGTGTATTACATTACGGGGTGCTGCAGGGAGGCCTAGGGGGCCGCTGCCGGACCCTTGTCTCCCTGTGCATGGCTCGGGAGGGCGAGGGCTGGTTGCGCTGAGCGGCAGGCCGAGTGCCCGCCCTGGTCCGGGGATGGCTGCGGAGCTGCACCTGGGGCCGGGGGTCGGGGGTGCAGGACCGGAGCCGGGCAACCTTTCCTTTGGCCGGGGGAGGGGCGCGCGGCTGTGGGGGTGGGGCGGGCGAGACCGAAGGGCCTTTGGTTTTCCCTGCTCGGCCGCCGCCGACGCCCAATGGGCTGCAGAGCCTGCCTGTCCGCCAGTTAGGGCGCTGTTTGGTGAGAGCCTCGGCCTGACGTCATTTTGGCGGGAGAAACAAGCGTGTGTGAGCGAGTAGGCGGGGGCGTTTTCCCGATGGAAAGAAACACTTCATCATACTCCTGGGCTCCTTGTATAGAAGCTGATCTGTGTCATCATATTATATTGTTTTAACAAGTCTGACCTTCAAGGTTTCAGAATTTATGACCAAATTTCCACGAAGGAATAACCCAGGATTTTGTAGTTGTGTTGCTGCTTCTACGAACAACAAACTACAAAATCATGTCCTAAGCGTGAACTATTAGAAACTGTATAATAAATTCCAGCAGTCCTGGCAGGAGCAGCAGCACTGCTAATTGTATGCTTCCAAAGCAGTTATGAGTTGGTCTTCCTCACACCCCTTTTAATTAGTGGTTTTAGCGACTGACTTGTTATGCATCTAAGAAATTAACAAGAGCAACAAGTGCTGCAGATCTTTAAGAATAGGTGTATTTTAGCTGGAGGGCATATTACCAAACTCTTAAAGCACTGTACAAACTTTTTTTTTTTTTTTTTTTTTTTTTTTTACTCGCTCTGTTTCTCCAGCCAACATACTACAATAAGTTAGTCTCTAAGAGTCTTTAGTTGGTGATTTTTTTTTTGTATTTTAAAAATTTCTTTCTTTTTTTCTTTTTTTTTTTTTTTTTTTTTTTTTTTTTGAGACAGAGGCTCAACTCTGTCGCTTAGGCTGGAGTGCAGTGGCACGATCTCGGCTCACTGCAACCTCTGCCTCCCAGGTTCAAGTCTCCCCAAGTAGCTGGGATTACAAGCGCGCCGCACCGCGCCTGGCTAAGTAGAGACGAGGTTTCGCCATGTTGACCAGGCTGGTCAGTAACACTTGACTACAAGTGTTCTCCCACCTCGGCCCCCAGAATGCTAGGATCTTTTTTCTTTTGTAGAGATAGGGTCTCCCTATGTTGCCCAGACTCGTCTGCAATTCCTGGGCCCAAGTGATCCTCCAGCCTCCTCCCAAAATCCTGAGATTACAGACCTCATGTGAGCCACCACGACCGCCCCCTCCCCTCTTTTTTATTAATTCTAGAGGGGGCTTCGTAAAACCAGGGACCTAGCTTCAGAAAACTCATTCTCAGGCCCACAAACCCAGGTCTGTCTTCTCCTCCTGTTCCAGGTACTTTTAATGTTTTTGCTTAACTTCAGCCAGTGGAATAAAAAAGCTTTTCCATTCTGTCACATCTAAGAGCTGTTTTCTCCCAGCAAAAACTACTGATGTGTTTGGTGAGTAACACTGGCAAAGGGTAGAAAAACTGGCCTACAGATTAATAGAATGAAGGCAGGTTTCACAGGTCTGTCAGTTACCCATTCCAGTGGACCCATTTCAAGTAGTAACCAGGGAAGACATTTACTTTTGACTGACTCTTTAAAATTGACTGGAGTTTTGAACAAATGAAAAAAGTATTCAAAGTCTAAAATTTTATTACACACACGCAAATTACTTTTTATCAAAGAAGTTTATTTGCATGTAAATAAACAGGTTATTTTGTAATGTTTCGGGAAAAAAAATCCCACAACAGATTTCATCTACTTTCAAAAAAATGAAAAACCCCGAAGTATTTACAGAACGGCCATATGCACAGAAAACCAAATTTGAAAGATTTTTTTTTTAAAAAAGACCCTCCCCAGCTGCTCCTGATGTACATTTTTAAACTCAAAATTTTAAGCTCAGTTCTTATAGCTGAACATGTTTCCCAATCTAGCTTCTGAGATGTTAAGTACTTCCTGCCCCTCCAAAAACTAACTCAAGGATAGAAATGTATGGGGGGCAGGAGAGGAGGGGAGAAGGAAAAAAAAAAAAGAGACTGCCCAAGGATTGTGAATAATGTTTCCTATACTGACATCTTTAAGTGACTCAACTGTGGATACTGTATGACTCACTGGCTTCCTGAAAGGGCTTCTGAGAATTCATGATATTGCTGCACTTTCCGATCTAGGCCTGAAGAAGGAAAATCTTTCAAGAGTCACCAACCTCAAGCCTGGTTTTGGCAATTATATCCTGCGTTGTTTGTCCCCACCACCCCACCCCCCACCCACTAAAATACTTCTGTTTTAAGACACATTGACATTGAACCTGAAATCTTCATGTACATCAGAGCAGGTTATGACCAAGAACCCCTAATGTTAAGCCAAAAGACAGAAGAGGAATCAGGTCAAACTGAGAATACGTAAGACACCAGCAGCAGAAGATAGGTAGAAGTTGACTTCATGTCCTTGCCTTCTTTTGAAACAGAAGAATGAGTACACCTAGACAGGAGGGAGGTGTCCCAGGCTTGGTTTATTCTGCCTCTTCTCCTCCACCCTGTGGAGAAATGCAGTGCTCCCTGGTTCTCAGGCAGGGTGAAGCAGTTTAGCCCCGGCTCCCTGTTAAGCAAGTTCAGATGCTGGGTCAGTGTGGGGGTGAGCCCATCGACAATTCAGGGGCTTATCCTTCATCCAGATCCTAACTCGGGATTCTTTGATCTGGGATGAAGACAGAAAGAGAGAAAAGCTTCCCAGTTTACTCATTTTGGTATTTGTTGGCCCTGCTTGGGGGAGCTGAGCCCCTGATACTATTCAGTACATTCCCCATAAGATTTTCCCCACCCAGAACAAATTTTAAAAACCACGTAACTTTTTTTTTTTCCTGCAGAAACCAACTGGATAGGATTCAAAACTAGGTGACAAACTCGTGAGAAATCCAACCTGGCTGAATGTCTGAGAGGCTGCTACTGTATCAACATCACAAGATAAAGCACTCTGGTATCACCTGCCCATATCCTCCTTAGTGTCACCCAAGACATTTGACTCTGATATGGTAACTGATAACTTTTTTTGCTCCACTTTGCAATGTTTTGTTTCCTACATCTTATTACCTTGGGACACAAAAGTGGCAGAGTTGTTGAGAGCTGATGACCATAAAAAGGAGAACACTAGAGGAAATGAGACAGGAAAGAAAGCCAAAGCTGATTTTCCAACTCTATGCTGACTCCAACCTGCAGAAAGAGCTGAATATAGAAATCTTCTTCCATATATGATGAAGTCACTCCACTTATGACATAACACACAGAGGAATCACCTGGCATTTTTTTTTTTTAAACCCAGAAGAGTTGTGCTGGGGACCATGCCCCATCCCGCTGATACAGATCCTGAATGGAATAATCAGGAATGGCACAGTGCAGGTGTCAATATCAAAGTAAGGCCGCAGAATTTTTGAGAGGACCCTCCAAAAACTGAGAACTTCTGTTGCACTCAAAACAGTCTCCTGGATTTCTATATTTTTATGTGAAGGGCTCTTATTGATGTCCTCCAGAATCCAGACTCAGACCTATTTCTCCAAAAAGGTCCAATTGGGTTGCTACATAGTAGCAAGGGTTTATCTTCATGCTCACCTAGCATTCCAGGCCCCCATTACTTCAAGTGAGCTTGAAATTGTTTTAAGTGAACTATGGCTGCGGATTTGTTACTGTTTTATCTCAGGGAGCATACTGTGGAGTGATTTAAAGTTTGGACTCCTTCTCCTTGTGATGAAGAGAAATAGTGAGTCCAGCTCTTAGGAATGGCATCAGTTCTCCTGCAAACAAAATGCTGGGATGCAGACTTTTGGCACATTGTGGAAACAGGAGAACTATTAATTCTGTAATGGTTTTCATGCCACCGGGTCAGGAAGGCTGTCACTAAACCTTACTGCATCTGAAAACGTGTTTACATCCCAACAAGCCACCTTAGCTTTTTTTTTTTTTTTTTTTTGAAAGGAAAATGAGATTACAAGTCAATACCTCCACAGGGAGGTAACTCCTAATATTCCTATGATCTCTGAACCCTATTTAAACCCTCCTAAAATAAAAATATCATTTTGGTTTTTCTATTATATTTAACTCTAAAGGCGGGCTCTGACCAATCTGCTTGGGCTTGATGCTATAGTATTAGCACAAGCTATAAGCTCCCTACCACCATATAAGCCTTGCTCTTCGGCCTCCCATCATTTTGAACCCTAAACCTCATAGATTTAGAACGAAACACTGTATAAAAACAAACAGATAAAAGGTTAAAATATTACAAATAAATAGCTAAAATAATCTTCCCTCCCCCAGTCACTCCTAAGAAACAGACACCAAACATTACTTAAGTGTCCAAAATGACCAAAGTCCTTCATTTGCCCATGACTCAAATGGACAACTACCCCAAACAAAGTTGAACAACCTTCATGCAAATGCATCAAGGAATGTATTGCTTTTTCATTTTCTGCCCAGCCCTTCATATACATGCACTAAAATGAGTTTAAAACATGGCCTAAAAATGGAAAAAGGGAGAAGAAAATATATATGAATATTTCCCACAAAACTGTTTCCCCCCCTTCCCTCTCCCTACACCCCTCCCACCCCCCTCCCTTTCTTAAGCAAGTATTTTAACTTTTTCTTTCTGGCACAGGAACAAAGACTTCTTGGTAACCAGAATCAAACACTGTGGTTTCTTTAATAGGGTCTGGATATGCCTTTCTAATTCACCCAGCTCGATGTCAAAGCCATGCCATTTAGGATTCTTAACCAAATCAGACCTGTCTGACTCACCCCTTATGGTGGTTTGCCTATAAACTTATCAATAGTTTCTTTTCTCTGGCCCTGTTTCTTTTAGGAAATAAGGTTCCTAATTCCCAATCAGGGCCACATCCATAAGATCATCATCTTCCTCCCCAATCATAAAGTCTGGGCTGAGCCTTGAGGGTCTATCTGCAGATAAGATTGTGTTACTTGTCATAGACAAGGACTGGTCTGAAGAGATGGGTGATTTGGACCAACTCTCTGGCTTGATGCTGTGAGATTTTTTCTTGTCTCGGTCTT